CTATCTCGTTATAATAAAATTTTATGTTGAGGGTGATTTATTTGTAAAATAAGAGCAAAAACTTCCCCTTAACAAAAATAATTAAAAATTTTATAGCTAAAAAGAACCAATTTAACCAAATTTTAATAATTTCAAATTTCTTTATGAATTTTAATGACTTATTTGTAATTGATTTGCACACTTTTGATATTTTTAGTAGGAGTATGATGTAAGAAGTTTTTATTGTGATAAACAGTGAATTGTGTAAATTTTAACCTACTACTTACACCTAAATATACCCTCTATTGATCATTGTGGATTACTATTTCTGAGACACAAATTCTTTTTATTATTGGTAGTGAAATCTTAGCAGTATTGTTAGAAACAATATGTAATGAGATTTTTGCTGGAGAAAATAAACAATCAACTAGTTCAAATACCCAAATCTTTCTTACTGGTTGTTTATCTAGATGATATTCCTGTTTATATCTAAATAAACTTTTATTTATTTGAACAATCATACCATCACCACCAAGACGAATTGAGTTTTCTGTCTCATAATTAAGACATTAATTAAGAATTAAATCGATAATTTTAATTCTTGTCTGTTGCGCCCACGCATCTAGCAATTTTAAAAAGTTTAAAATATTTGGTAATAAATTTATTTCTCATTTTTCTTTCTCTTAAGATATTTTATTTATATACCCAAAAAGAACTTTAAACAATTGTTATAAGAATCAATAAAATGATTGATGTCAATTATAAGTAACATCGGTTATGACAATGCTCTTTTTTAGATATTCGTTTTAATACCTATCTGTACATGAATATAATTATAAACCATTTATAAATCATCAATAATACACTTCTCAGAGGTACAGTGAAGCCTGATAGTAGTGACTCGTTGCATATTGAAACATACTTAGAGAAGTTTTTATAATTTCTATTATAATATCTGAATCTATACTACCAGAATCAAAGTTGTTAAATCTGTTAAAAAGTAATTTAAACCATAATTTATTTTCTCTTTTTGTTTATATATTAAACTATGAAGCTATTTTAGTTTTGTTTCACATTTATGTCGGTTGCAGACGTATCAGATATCAACAAGACTCAATGTAACTTCAATGAAAAATCTTCAGATACTTTAGTTGTAGCAAAATCAATGATCCTTAGATGTTTAAAAATTTTTAACTATTTGAATTTAAAATGTTTTATAAAGCAAACAATTCATCATGGGTTACAAGAGATATTTTAG